AGACAAATCAGCGCACGGATGTACGTACAAAACATGCTGTTGTACTACCGGCGACGGTCGCCTGCAAGAAGAGAGCTCCAGCTCCTAACGTAAAAGTTTTAAAATTTCGACCGGTTTTAAATAATTAGTGTTGGAAATCTGACATGTTTTAAGAGTGCAAAATTAAGGTGCATTTTCGAGCGGTCGAATTTTTCTGAATAGAAATCGGCAAATGAAAAAAACAGGAGTGCTAAACAGTGTGCTTCGGTAGTTTAAAAAAATGAAATGTCCGTCAAATTCACGTAAACTTCCCAATTTTTCACGGAAAAAGCAAAGGTCGTGGCCGTGTTGCAGGCTAAAAAACTCAAAAATCAAAACAAAATCATCAATCAGTAAGTATTATGACAAGGAAAGCAAAACTTCAGACGCGGAGAAGCGGTCAGCGCGTCGAAAGAGTTGTTACCGTAATGTATCAAGTTACCTCTCCCTGTGATTTATTTTTCATTGAAATTATTTGGTTGTTTTCAATTAATTTTAGCGTACCTTTGCAATTTATTTTAGCATTGTCAGTTGTTTGCTTCATTGAATTAAACGGAGTTCGCCCGGTCAAACAAAGCTCTCGCACCACAGCAAAACTTGCGAATGATCGAGTAAGGTACCATTGGACAAAAGATACACAAAAGTTTGTATCTCCCCGACCCAGTGCAATATATAAAGCTTGGAAACACATGCGCAGAGCGACGACTACCGCACTTCAACTGAAAATGCAAAATCGTAGAGTAGAAATAAGTAGAGGAAAAGTCAAAAAATCTTCGTAGAAAGTTTAAAATTGTTTAAACTTAGCATGAAAATTGAAAATGGAGTTGAAAATGTGATTTTTAAGTCGAAAAGTACGAAGGAATGTCAATAAAAATACAAGTAAGAACTAAATCACACAAAAATAGCAGAACCTGTTTATCAGACTATATGTATATGTAGGTTTGAATATTTGCACTCAATGTTCGTCATCTTGATTGTTATTAGTTACGATTTTAATTTAGTGCAGTCGAATGCGTCATTGATATTTGGTATGCACGGACATGATTCTATCAGGGGGAAATTCTCTTTGCTCTGGGTTCTCCACACTTGTCAGGGGGAATCTCGTCTCGTCTCTATATCTCGTCCCCTTGAGGTATGGGATCGGGGAAGTCACTTATACTTTACAGTCAACTAAGACACACACAACGAAATACGTTTCAACTCTCGTCTTAGTCGGTCTGTGGAGCACTCTATAAGACACATCGCCCTGGGGAAAAGTCCCCAAGACTATCGCAAGGCTGAACCAAGACTCTCTTAGACTGCGTCAACACTCGCCCCAAGGCTCTCCAGGACTGGACTCGACTGCGTCTATCGTGCTGTGCCCCCAAAGACCAACTCAAAACTCTCTTTATTCATTTTCAAAACTCTAACCAATTACAATGCAGTAAAAAGACTCTAGGGCGTAACCTTCAATCATAAAGCCAATCACACTAAGTACTGAATACGTCATATCTTTTGATTAATCGTTCACTACATTAATAACTATTAATACCAACTGTCAGAATCTTAGTCTGAATAGCGACGGTTATCTGTAATTAGTTCCAAATCACTGAGCCAAATTCCGTCCAAAACTTCAAATAGGTCTAAACGATGAAAGACATAACACAGCAATTCAGCTAATAATCAGCTAATTAAGTCGGTCAACAGATACGCAAAAAACTAATTCATGACAGTTCACTCATAGTTTGTAAGTATGAGTTGATGCCCATCACAGAACAAGTAAACGCAATTACCCATGAAGTATCTTACACTCTATCTGCATGTTTCATTGCTCTGTGTAGTGTGCTGCTAAATTTAATGGACTAGCGGTACTGGCCAATCACGTTCAGCTGATTGTCTAGGTATAAATGTGTGCATGTGTTTCGGGCTTTGGGTTCATGGTTCACATACATTTACATGTTAAAGATATTGCAGGTGGATGACGTATTCATCTTATGAATATTTATAACCACATTTCCAACGTGCCAACGTTTGAAAACCGATTGACATCGGCAGATCAAATGCCAAGGTTTTGTCTTCGAGCTTCGTGTTCGTCATATCTGAAATTGCTGTTTCTATGGTAACCGTGCCCATATTTGTACCAACATGTAATGGCTTTGTGTTGTCTCAAGGGCAATACGTCATAGTAATTTCATAAGAATCAATCAATAATATATATTGAGTTATAAATGAGAAATCACTCCCAAAATTGGTGTTACCACGTTAACTGTGCTCGCGTCTGTACCGTAATATAATCGATTGTCCACTGTATTCATGCCCACACTCCTTCTAATTACACGTGTGTATATCAATAACCTGATGTTACTATGGTAATCGTACCCGTATCTGCACCAAAATGGTTTCGTGCTCGCATCAAGAGAAACCCCTCCGATATATTTTATGAGAATCTATCTATAACGTTTTTAGTTTTGCGTGGAAAGTCGACAAAATTTTGTTGCAAAGTTGCAAAAAGTAAGTTGAGTGGGAAGTCGAAAACGCAAAGGTGGCAAATTTAGCTATAACAACAACAATGTTGGTCGGACAGTTAGAACAGCTAGATGAAAGGTCAAAAACTTTGTGTTGACAAATTTGGTTGTCACACGTAAAGTTGCAAAAGTTAGTTGGGTTGCGAGGTTGCATTTTGTTATAATGGGTTATTCTTTAAATATTTATGGGTTTTTCTTGTCAAAATCAGTTGTTTTTAGAGCATTTCTCGAAAAAAAAATCACATTGTCCTAAACAGAGTTCTTTATCGATGTGATGTATTGTGCCAAAAACATAACTTTCTTAATGGAGATATTAATTTGAGATGACATCATTGTGCTCCAATCAAACTATGTCAACAAAAGTGTTTACGATTAGCGTAATGTTATGAACAGTTATAAAATACTAACAGGCATATTACGAACAAAGAAACATGCAAGGCGAGATCCACGGCAATGTACCCTGACATTGTAAGCAGACCCGTACCTCGCTGAACCACAGCAAACACCCCAAAATGACACATCTAAATTCCATGTAATATACGCGCACTTACAGTCACTAGATTGAAATAGGACAGATAAGTGATTACATTGCGTAATTTTAGTGGGCTGGGTTGGTCGACAAAGATTCATCATTCATTTTCAGTTTCAGTGTGTTGTTGAGAAGGTTGCGTTATTTTAGGTGAAGTCGTAAAACATGCGTGGTACTAGCTTATGAGTGCTTGGTATCAGCAGATAGTTGACATTATAGAATAATTTGTTGATGGGAGAATTACGTTGACCTTTGCCTATTACCTAATCAAAGCATCTAGCGTATAGGTAGCTAACACCACGAGGCATCTACGCCCTCTGTATACTTACCTGTCCCGTCGTGATGGTGTAGATATTTGTTATATCACTGCCACTTCCAATCTCCAACTTGTACAGAATATTGCCGCACGCTTGATTACAAAAAACAATACATTTGATTATAATATCACTGAGTTTCGACGCAACCTAAAATGACTTCCTGTTCAATAACGCGTTCACTTTAGGAATATGTTATTGATTTCCTCTCGTGAAATCTACACTTATTACAACTTATAAACCTGCGCACGGTCTTCACAAATAAACTACACGTAAACGCCCCAAAAGTAAATGCCAAATACTTCGGTTATCGAAATATTTGTCATGCTGCTCTAGTCGGAATTGAACTACACTACGCTAAATGCTTAATTATTGTATTATTATGTTATTATTATACATCTGTCACCGTGCCGTAACTTTGCGGTATTTAACGGGGTATATCATCCTACCATATAAGGAAATGTAAATTCGCCATAAGTTACGGTGTGTCGTTATTTTGTGGTATTGCACAGTGTATTTCCCATCCTACCATATTAGGAAACGCAAATTCCAAATATGGAATGTTTACGTGCGTAAGCGTCCTCTGATAATAAAAACAAACATAGCTGCCATCAGGGTTTGACCAGACTCTACACAAAGAATTTCGCTGATTCCGTTCTAAACATTTTGGATTTCGGCATTCCCATGATGTATCCTTGAAAGGAAAAGATGTATAATCTGTTGACAATACAGTACCGTACATCGTCGCATCGACCTCCGCTGCGCGTCGGTGGATACTCCCGCCGTTCTGTCTTCGTACATACTTTGAGGATCCTCGTAATAACCTCATATTATTATTACATAGCAGAAATGCAAATTAGTTAATAATGTATCGATGTAGCAAGGTTTAGAGTTGCTGTACTGTCTTCGTGCATACTTTGAGGTATCCTCGTAATAACCTCATATTATTATTACATAGCAGAAAAGCAAATTGGTTATTAATGTAACGATGTAACAAGGTTTAGAGTTGTTGGTGAAAGAGCAAAGTACTTTTTAATCGAACCTCCCTTTACTGGGAATATACAACGTTAAACAAAACAAAAATTCTATGTTGCCTGTAACTCTAAGTTCAGTTTATTGTTAATTAAAGTTCGAGTTACTAAATGCGAACGTTCAACAAAAACAAAAATATAGGTTACCCGTAACTCGAAGTTCTGTAAACTGTTAACTGTGGTTTCGCAAAACCGGGCGTGTTTTCTGAAATATGGGCGTATGGATTTTGTAACTCCATGTTTTCAGACGTAACTCGAAGTTTGTAACTCCATGTTTTCGTAACTCGAAGTTTGTAACTCGATGTCCGCAACTCAAACAATTCAGCACCTCACCATAAGCTACACCCATTTTAAACACATGTGAATATTGATTGACAATCGACTAATTGACATTTCAACCAATCAAATAGCGACGTTCATTTTATGAACGCGGAGCTGCAGTTACACGTGACAGAGGTTATGGGAGTAAGTACATCGTGCATGTCAACGACACTAAATCACTGCATCAAATACCACATGTTAATTATAAAGTAAGAATTGTATTGAATGTCTCAGATAAAATGTTAATGTATTGTACACATAAAATAACTGTTAAAAGTCCGTAATCGACGCCACGCTGACCATGTGGTTCTGTTAATACGTAAGTGGCAACTTGCCTTCCATCTCTAAATGTTTCAAACCTACAATGAAAAAAATAGATCAATTTAGTGCAGTATATTATGACTATAAATGTACGAATTTAGTAACACTGAATAAGGATGAGTACACCTCGGCCTTGTCAGGCGGGGAAGAGGTTTATATACTGTATGCTCGAGGCGGAGCTACGTCACAGAACGTTAGTACGTCACAGTAGCATGTTTATGGGCTCTGCGCGAGCTGCTGTGGAACGCCGGTCGAAAAGCCGGTGAAAAACAGTTAAAGTCGAGAAATAATAAATTTATATATGTTGCACACGTAGGGGTAATTTTGTTACACTGTTCAGGGGAGTCTCAACAACCATCCCAAAAAAAACGTTTTCTGAGAGTCTTTGTTTTCACCGTGATGGTTGCCATGCGGTGAAAATGCCCGGACAACCTAACAACATTTGATCGCTATTTTATGCATGTTCCGTTGATTTTTGTACTATAATATACCATTTTCCATTCACTGCGAGTTACCACGTTATGTTTGAATGGAACGTAAAAGCAGGAAAAACAAAGGTCATAACTTTATAGTGACGTCAGAACATCACGTGCGATTCGACAATCGCGAAACTACTAGTATTTTGGGGGTATGTGCCATACGCATTTGATGATGGCCAGTTTTGATGAAGTAAGAGTATCTCAACGGCATTTCAATATTGAGCTATAACAGAAAAAAAGTTTAAAATCAGATCATTTCCGCGCCTTTCACGCAATACGCGAGATCTCGGAGTGAACGGGAATCACCTATTAAATATACATATGCATTTTATTTTAACTCGTGCCAAATAAATCTAGTACACCCTTAAAGGGCGGCGGTCGTCGCGCAACGCATGCACGAGATATAGGGACTCACATGAACGGCCAACGAGTAAAAACTGAGACGTTACTAAGCTTTAACTATGTGATTTGTTGGTGACTAGAAAATATCGAAGGAGTCCCTTGTGATAATTAGTGCACGTCATGCCCTTTAAAGCAGAGGGGTCGTCGTCTGCGCACATGCGGGAAGTCCTAAGAGACGATAACAACGCATGCTAAATAACGCAAAGGCCAATGGATAGACGCTTGTTTGTAAATAAAGAACACTATGGCCGCCTGCCCTTGCACAAGTGACGACTTCCCGCTTTAAGTAGTTACCTGCGACGGCACTCTGAAAGGCAGCGTTATAATCCAATGCAACTTCGTTTTTGTGAATATTTGCTCTTTCATCGTCAAAGTAATCACGCATGTCTGGGCCACCAACTAAAGCTCCGGTCAACGTTATTGGATTCGGGTTTGGGCTTCCGTAGTTGCTCCAGTTACACGATCCTTCCGCTGGACAAGAACTATGGATAATATTATGCATATTATTCTACTGTTAATTCATAAATTACCATTAGAGCGATTCGTGTTGATCAGAATAAACATCGTGTATAGTGCGCATGCGTATTTTGTGGCGTGTGGCCATAGTAAATATTATCATTCTATGATAAAATGCCATAATCTTTTTCATGATTACATTTTTGAAAACTTAATATTAATATGTTAAATTTAAGTATTTTTAAAACCAAAAAAATGTTCAGAATTCAGTCAACTGGGAAGTGAATAGGTTATACAGATCATACAATTGTTGAGGTAAAAACCTATCAAGGCGCTTTGAAAGCAGCCTTCTGATTGGATACTCATACAAACTATTTCTATTTGTTCACATTTTCCATACCACCCGGCCGATTTGCTCCAAAAACTACCAAAAACTACCAAAGAATTTTACAGCATGTAGTTCAAATAAAAAAAAACACACATACATGTTAAGTCTTAGTTTAATTGGTGAATTAGAAAGTTGGAATCTATTTGATTATTGTAGCACGACCATCTGCGAACTACTAACAAAATGGCGGACCTTATGACGTACTGTTCAAGTCTGCGACGCATACTCATTACCTGTCTCTGTGGTGCGGCCTCGTAGGTGGATTATTGCCATATCCAACGACGTAACTTCTCCCGGTATCCCCCAGCATATAGTGGATCTGTTGCGTTGCAAATTGCCGGTAGGTCATAGTACGTGATATCCTATCAGCAATCAATAGACCAATGAAAGCCGTGCCGGCTGAAAAGAAACAAAGAATAAATGAATGAATAAATGAATAAATCAGTTTCGTCATCTTTTAACCCGCTGTTTCTGATTGTTAATATTTGTTGTCAGTTCTGGGGTTCCGATATTGTCTTCGTGTTATTTTTACGCTATCAGTCGTTGTGTCGTCACAAGAAGCGCTGCCTCAGCACAACCCTGTGTCATATGACGCCTTACTAGCTGATTTTGGCTAAAATAGAGCTCCGCTGCCTCTACACGCCAGTGTTTATAAACGGAACTTGATATTGCTTTTCACAGTTTAAGTTGCCTTTTAATCACATATTTTAGTGAAATATTGTTCAGGCAGTGAAATATTAATGCCATAATTCAATCTTTGAAACAACTGAAACTAACACATAATAACGATAATCAAATTTGTGTGTGAAGTTCGAAAGTACTTGCGTAATTTCCGGTTTCAAGTAGTTCGAAAATAGAACGTTCTTGAACGCGATAAAATCACGCATAGAACTCCTTCCGACCAAGACACTAGCAGCGTAAACTTATTGCGAATTTGCGCAATTTGGATCCAGTTCAAGTTTTCTAAGTTTCGTTTATCATTATTTAGTAAACAGGTCCCCGAAACAATTTAATATATTCATAATATACGTGGCAATCGACGATTGACTTCGAAACGTTCGAAATTTCGAACAAACTCCCAGCACACCTTGCGCGATATGCGTCAGATCGGTGTAGAAGACGCCGACCTGCAGCGTCAATGCGCTATCAGTATATAAAACATTAGCACGTGGTTTCCACGTTTGTAACATGTTTTTGGTAGTAAGAGTGTTGATATGTCGATCCCCGCAAGCCTTTCTAGTCATCAAAAATACTGTGATAATTTAGTCGCTTCTGTTTTGTGCCAAACATGCCCAGTAACGCAATAACCCAGACACTCGAAATTCTTGACAGGTAGCTTCTTTTCCACTATAAACTTGATGATATTAGATTGTGTCGTGTTTTTTATCGTGTTTCATATATATGTAGCAAACGATTGTACACCATTGTATTCATATACATATAGTATCATAATGCGACTTCATGTGATGTCTAAAAGTTTTATTAAACAGTCAATTCAAGTTTTTAGAAAAAAAAACAATGGTCGTACATTAGATATTGCCTGTATTTATAACATCTACGGTAATTTACAAAGTTCTAAAAGACAATCAATATTGAAGTAACACTGGATGCATCCGCCGGTTTTCCGTTTGGCCGTTTTTTCACGCAGAATGCTGTTTGTACTCAATTGCAGAGTATGTCCATTGGATCCAAAATTAATAAAGAACAATACAAGCAACTTGGAAAGAAATATTATCGAACCACTTAAA